GAATAGATACACTTTGCCCCGTCTCTTTGTGTGTCTTTGTCGGGTGTTTGGAGCACCAGCGGAGTGTCTTCCTGGGAATCCGTGCACTCTGTGTCTCAGGTCTCTTCTGTCTATTGTGTAGCAACCAGGGCAGGGTCTGAGCTGCTTATTGTGGGAAAGTTTGCTTTTGTTTACACCCTGTGAAAAGGCTGCACATCAGCAAGTCTGTGTGTGCGTGTGTGTGTGTGTGTATAAACTAAACGTTTGTGAAGCCATCATTATCATTAAAGGATAATTCCAGTTTAACTATTAAAGGAATAGCCTGACATTTTGTAAAATAACGTTACTCTTATTTGCTTTTTAGCATTCTGGACTCTTGTTGTCACCCTAAGTTTGACAAGCAACAAGTGAAGTTACTAAATGAGACCAAGAAAAATCTGGCACATAACCTGCTGTGAAAACAACCAACAAACAAACTGGCTCTGTCCAAACTTCTGGATGGAACCAGGCTAGCTTATTCCCCCTATGCTAAGCTAAGCTAAGCTAAGCTAAGCTAACCATCTGATATATGTGGTATTCATGTTCTCATCTCATTCTTGCCAAGAATGTGAATCGGCTGAATTTTAAAACTCCTTTAAAAGCTAAAATTTATACACACCAAAGTAACTGCTGAGATCTCAGACAGTGGTGACATCAGAAAACGGAAGTCAACAAACATCAGCGGAGAGAAAACAAAGACCAATGGAAAAACTATTACCCAACTTTGTAAATCTCCATCACAGGTTACAGAAGGACTTAGTGGCTGAAACCAAGCAGCAACCCCCCGGGCTGGAAAATGAACCCAACTTGGAGGTGCTAAAAACTGCAGTTCCTCTAATGACCACTTGAGGCTTATCCCTCAATGATTGAGTCAATCCCCATGGGCCTCCATGTTACAATGTCCAACTTTACAGCAGAAATAAGCATGTTTATAGCCTGGCTGGTACAAAAATCAGTTTCAGTCTCTATAGCTAATTTTCTCTGTCATGACAACCGTACAGAGGATGAATTTTTGCATAACTCAACTATTTAAATGTTAATAAAGGAGCAGTGTGGAAGATTTTGAGAGATTTAGTGGTATCCAATGGTGAGGATTGCAGATTACAACCAGTTGAAACTTCTCCTGATTATAATTCATTCAGTTTTCATTGTTTATGAGGTTTTTACCAGGAGCTGAATTATCTGCAGAGGTCTCTTGCATTTTCAAAACAAACAGACCAGGTGATTTAAACTGGTAAAAACACTGAATAAAGCAGTTTATTTTCCTTTTTATTTTTTCTAATATGGCATTTTTCCAGCACTGCTTGTGCAGAGGGGCTTCTGTCTATGGTAGATGACGCTGAACCATAAAACCGTGAAAATACAAATGGCCCTATCTGGAGACTGTGTTGGGTTTGTCCATTCTGGGCTGTTGTAGAAACATGGTATATTCCATTCTGCAAATAAATCCCCCACAGGGGGACAAACAAATCAGTCTCCAGCGTGCCGCTGTCCAGCAACCTCGAATCTGTAGGGGAGGGGGGGCGGACACGACTCGCAGCAGTATTTTGAATTTGAGTGCAGTAACCGTTTTGGCCACATTCTTACATACAGCTCCTTTAAGGTTTAAAGTTATGAGTAATTAAGGTCGTGGTAGCTTTGAGTGACAGGTGGGTGCCATACATTGACAAGTAGATGCCATGGCGACAACGCTTGTTAGGTTATGTAACCATGCCATAACCCCAGATTAACAGAGTAAAGGTGTAGCCATATCTTTGGCTATTTCAGAGTGTTTTCAGTTCATGAGAGTTAATTTTAACGTTTCGGTCGCCTTAAAAGTCATGTTCAAAGACCCTGCAAGATGTCACAGCGTTTAATTTTTTTTTTTGGTAAGTTTATCTTATTTTAATGGTTTTAAGTCTGTTTTTCATTAGAGATAAATAGCATTAGTATTATCACAGTTAATCATGTCTAGAATTGCGCCATGCCAACTACGCTAGCAGCTAGCATTCGGGTTAGCTCCACCCTCTCATCCAAATATGGTCACTTCTGGCTCCAAAAAGGCAAGATGGTAGAAATACCAAATACGAGGCTTTAAAACGGGAGTTCACAAACCAATTGGTGACGTCACGGTTATTTTATACAGCCTATGGCAATTTCCCATAGACCCCCATATTAAAATGCCCAACTTTGTTTAAAGCCTCCAGCTATGTCCATTATTTTAAAGTCTATGGGGTAAAACTTTGATCTACTTGACCTACCGTAAGTGTGCATATTTGCAATTTCCTTCCTGCATGTTGTATTTGCTTAAGAAGGCTTCAAAAATGACCAACCAGTGTTTTCACAATAACTTAATATAAAACTCTCAACACTTGGTGAACCACATACTGTTTGAGGAGGTGTATATAAAAACTCCAGCCAATAGAGTAATCTTAAACCTTTGAACAATCCAGACCCTTCCATCAAATAATATGACCTTTATCTTTATTACCAAAATCTGTCTGGTTTGTGAATGATCCTCCCTGCATTATTCCATGACCCAACATGTTGTTTCAACGGGAGACAGTGTAATAGCATTAGAAACATACTCTTTCAGTTTTAGGAAGTTGCATGTTAAGGTTTATATCAAAATCATCTACAAGACTATATGAAAGCTGTGGAGAAAGTACTTCTGACACCTGTGCAATGTAATGTGATATAATTTTCAGTTTATCTAAAGGTTTTTCATTCCAAGTAAGCTCCAAAATGAGACTGGGACCAAATATTCAACAATCATCTTACATTACTGTATAAATGTTTTTATTGAGCCATTTCACCACATGTTAAAGGACCACACAGAGGTTCATACAAGTCCCATTTATTTTAAACAACTGATAACTGTTGCCAAAGCCTTTGAGATACTTCCATTCATGACATGTCAAAGTTATTATACTGTCAGTAAATTAGTATTTGATGCAGATGACTTTCAAAAGCCTGCACTGTATAAACATGTAGGAATAATGTGACTTAAAGTCACAGTGATGGATTACCTAACCCGAGCAAGTCTCTGCAAGCGGATTTTCATACTGTGAGAAAATGATTGAGGAGTTATGAATGGTGGAGTTGGGACTAAAACACTTTGGTGTGATTTGGATAGTTGTCAACATGAGTGGATGTGAACTGTTGTAGCTAAAATACAGAAAGACACTGAATGTTTTTGTCCTGCACATGTAAATAGACTTTATCTGCCAACACACTGTTACTCTGTAATCAAATAATGATGACTAAATACTGATAAACCACTTCACTGCTTCCACCTGAAGTAAGAAAACTTTTTTCAGCCTACTTGCAACATTACAGATCTGAAAACTGAACTCAGTGTTATGAATGCATCTGCATTTGCACACTTCATTCAACTTGTGTTAAGTAAGCATTAAAGTGAAACATATTAAGCAACACGTCCAACGGCTCCGGCCTCCTCCCAGCCCGGAGTTCAGCCGCTGTGTTGAAACGTTATTTCTCTGTGTGAGCACGTCTGACTCAATCTCAGTTTCCTATACACACACACACTCGCAAGTTCCCTACTGTGCGTGTATGTGTGTGTGTGTGTGTGGGGGGGGGGGCTTTATCTGAATGTATTCGTGTGTGTGTGTGTGTGTGTTGTTACTCTAAACAGAAATCCAGCTTCCTCACTTCTCTCTTCTGTCCTCAGTCTGTCAGTTGGCTGACTGCGGTTGTTACTGCTCAGTACAGCTCTCTAACTTGCTCTCTGTCTCCATGACAACTTGCTGTCACGAAGACGTCACACACGCCACGCACCTGAGATCAGGAAGGAGGAAGTGCCTGGTCCCGCCCACGTCGAATTCTGCAAGGAATCCAGGTAGGCAAACACACACACACACACACACACACACACACATACACACACACACCCTGAATGAGAGGTGAATGCAGGAGGCCTGGTAGTGTTGAAACTGCTCTGCGTGATCAAACAAGTATGAAATTGTCAGAAATAAAAGAGAATTAAGAGTGCGTGGGAGATATGAAAGAGGAGAATAAGAAACAGCAGTTGAGCCGGTGGTGTTTGGGTTATCTTCCACTGTTTTACTTTCAGTTCAAGTTTCACATTTCAGGCCTGTCTGTGTCACACTCACGCTGACTGACTGTTTGAGGAATGAAAATCGGGTGTGAGACAGTTGTTATTAGTGAAAGTTGTCATTACAGAGGCACCTGCGTACGTCAAGGGTGTGAACGGTGTAACATAAAGACAGCTTGTCCTCATGACGTCGGGGGTGGGCACATGCATTTGTGAATGAGTGAAAGGTCGGTGTGTGTGTGATCATCGGTAATAACCATGTGGCGGATGAGAATGATCATGTGGTGTGTGAGGTTTTGAACTAGGTGTGCAGGATACTCCTTTACAGGAATGCTGCTCTGGCTGAAATGATTCAGGTCTGGCTGCACACACACTAACACACAGATTGGCCAGGCCACAGGAGGATAGCATTTCTCATCCGGAATGATAGGAGGGAAGGAGGGAGGGAGGTGTGTTGGGGGTTTGGGCAGTCAGATTCAGGTTTGGTGAGTTTTAGGAGGCGGCAGTGTGTACACCACACACATGATCGAGAGAGAAAGAGGGACGGACAGAGAGAAAGAGACAGAAGAGAAGGCTAAACACTTTGCGAGGAAGTCTTTGGAGAGTTTTGGACCTTCATTCAAGATCATGCAACCTCTGACTTGAGCTCCGCGTCTGCGATGCTGTGCTGTAAGAGAAGATAGATTTGTGTTTGTTTTCAGGTGGATAGTGTATTCTCTGATGAGTTTCCTGGGATCATTAGCGTGTTGGTGTGTGTTTGGAACTTTTTCCTTTCTTTTCTCCTCCCTCTCTCCCCCCTTCCCAGGAATGTGGGGCTTATGTCAGTGAGAGTCAGGTACAGACTCACTAATTACCACTGCCATTCCTCCCTCCATCTCTCCCTCCCTCCCTCTTTCCTTCAACTCCACCACCTTCCCTCTCTCTCTCCTCCACTTCGAGACCTTGTGTGCTCCCTCCCCTCTCCTGCCTCCTGCTGTTGCGTCTACGAGCGCTGTCGTGACTGGAGCAGAGGAGAGGACAAACAGAGAGGATCTGAGTCAGAATCCAAAAAAACACCAAAAGGAGAACAGAAACTCTGACTTGTCCTCTCTCTTGTTCTCAGTGTGTGTGTTTGGTAGATGTATCTGAGAGTTTGTTAGTTGTGTCTGAGATCTCTTCTGATTCTTCTCTGGGGGACCTGTCATTGAAGACAGGAGGCGCCTTGACAGCAAACGAGAGGCCGGAGAGAACCTGACAGACAGAGCAAAAGGAGGAGAGAAGGAGGAAGAGAAGATGAGAAAGTGACAAGCTGGATCGTTGCTTTTGAATGGTGGCAGAAGAACCAAAACGACGGCACTGTGATTACACGTCCCATCATCCTACAGGTTGGCCGGGAACCCGTCATGTGTTTCTTTTTCTTTTCCTTTCTGTCTGTTCCTCGCTTTCATCTTCCATCAGTTTGGCTGCTAAGTTAAGGGACATGGTGTGTTTTCTCACCTGGAGAACTAAGAACACACACACACACACACACACACACACACACAGTGGGTATCTGGAAGGACATTTGTTCAGCTGGTCCAGTGTTCACACTGACCCAGCTGACTGCTATAACCTTCATTACAAGGTTATGGGACAGGGACTCGATGTTTATTTGTGTGGGGATTTATGTGTGTGTGATCAGTTGCTGTCTTGTCGAGCTGTCCTGTTTGTGTGTGTGTGTGTGTGTGTGTGTGTGTGTGTCAGAAACTGGTTGAGCAGGGCGCCAGTCAGCCTTGGGTGTCCTGTTGTTGTACAAACGAGATTTTGTTGTGTGAGCATACATATGTGTGAGTGCCCTTGCCTGTGCATAGATATATTGTACATGTGTGTGAAGTTATAGTGTGTGTGTGTCTGTATGAGTGTTAGTGTAGTAGAGCAGCCTTCTCTGTGACGCTCAGCCCAGACTGTAGTTTACAAAATCTTTGAGATCATTAGATCAAATTTACAAAAAGGTCATTTCTTAAAATGTAGTTTGCGGATCTCTGGTCATTTGTTATGTGTGTATAACATATACAGTATAACATGACATCCAAAGCCATTATGTTATGATATGTGTTGTCTTTTGACAATATTTTAAATTTTTAGTACTTTGTGATTTATGGTAGAAAAAAGTGATTCACTATAAAAAAAAAAAATAAAAAAAAAGATTTAAATTGATTTGCAAAATTTAAAAAAATACAAAATAAGACGTGAAGCTTGGACAATTGGACAATTGGTTATGTAGCTGCTGTCAGGCTACATAACCAGCACTGCTCACAGTAGACTGCACCATGGACACTTTATTGACACTTCATTGACACTATGGACACTTTATGGACACCACAGCTGTCTGCTGTTTTGCACATACAATCACTTGCACTAGATGTGCTCCCTTTATCCAATGCTCATTTTTTGCTCATTTTCATTCACTGCTGCTCATTATTATCCACTTCCTGTTATTTTCATTATTGTTATTATTAATATTATTATTATTATTGTTATTGTTATTTATCGCCGTCTCTTGTATTTTTGTACTTATTTGCATGCCTAGTTATTTAAGTTTTTTAAGTTTAATTTTGAAATCTTTAATCTGACTCTTTCTCCTTGACTGCTGTAACACTGGAATTTCTCAATTATGGGATCAGTAAAGGTGTATCTTATCTTATCTTATCTTATCTTATCTTATCTTAATTAGTATGGAATTAACTAAGGGCCTAATTTCTGTAGATGTAAACTGATGCTGACAGGTTAGAGGTGGTGGAAAGAAAAGTTTCACTTACTAAGTTACTGTTTTCTGAAAATCACCTGTGGAGATGGAGAACAGGGAGGTGCAGAGTGACACCTGCAATACACTCCTTTGTCAGTTAGTGTACGTGCATGTAAGTGTGTCTTCCATCTCAACAGATGGCCGGCTTCCTTGTGAATACTGAAAATACTTCCACATGTTTAAGGTGTGTGTGAAGGGTGTGTGTGTGTGTAAAAGTGCTGGTTAGACCTGATGAAGTGATGACACACAGGTTCTTCAAACTAGCTCATGCAAAACCAAAACCAAAAATAGATAGCTGTTAAATGGTTAGTTTATGATAGTTATTCAAATGGACCTGTCTGTCTGTCTGTCTATCTGTCTGCCTGTCTCTCTGTCTGTCTGTCTCTCTGTCTGTCTGTTTCTCAGACAGCGGCTGTGTTCATTACAGATTGTGCAAGAGGGTTCAAGAGGTAAACCATTTTTTGGAATGATACTTATCTCTCAACCCACTGTATCACATTCCACAACTGCTAAAAAGGGACAAACAGTCACCCGAGACAGGAATTTATATCTACACTTTTTTTTCCTAGTGTGACCTTAGTGGTATCGTGTTTGGGCCCGCTCTAGTTTCAGGAAGACACACAACAGGAGCAGAAACAACGGGCAACAGGAAGAAAAATACAAGATGTTTTTTTTTAACCTGAGACAAAGGTTGGAGTGATTCTTAAAAGCAGGAAGCTGATGGGAAATAATTATTCAGCAAACCTCAAGTACAGTATAAGGAAGAGAAACAGCTGAAATGGCTTGAATGATATATACACAAACACGTAGGTACGTAGTATATGGTTGTGTCACGTGATCATCACATGATCATCTCATGCTCATGATGGGGAAGTGCGTGTGTGTGTGTGTGACAAAGCCATGAGTCTAATCCACCGACACTAAAGCAGAAATCTAAAGCTGCAGAATACAGACAGAGAGAGAGAGAGAGAGCAAGAGAGAGAGAGAGAGAGAGAGAGAGAGAGAAAGAGAGAGAGAGAACCTGTTAGCACTATTGTGTTGTTTATGAAACACCTGTAACAAGATCTGATCACCCTCTCTCTCCTCTCTCTTTCTGTTTGTCACAAACACACATACCTGGAAAGCACAATGGCCACATTCTTCCCCCTCTGTCGACCCCCCTCCACCTCCCTCTTTAGCTCCCCTCTGATCCAGCCAATCACTGGACAGCAGCGAGACGAGGGCGAAGTCAAAACAGGTCAAAATTAGGGTGGCACAGACAGGTAGAAAAGGGAGGAGTGAAAGATATTTTTTGATATGCTCAATTTGTTTACAAATGCTAAGCGGCTAAAGGAACACAAAACGGATTTGACCAGCAGATACTTTGCACTGTAATTTAATATTTGGTGCTGTTCTTTCAAAGCAAAGAGTAAAAAATATTAATAAACATTTTTTGAAAAGTTGGAAATAAGAAGCAAGACGGACGGAAGTTGTAAGAATGTTTTACAGAGGAAACAATGTTAAGGAAAAAAGTGTCATGGAGGGACAGAACAGCCATAAAAAAAGAATAAATCTGAAAAAAGAATTTAAAAAAAGTTAAGATAAATAAGTAAAAGATAAATCAGTAAATAAAAAATCTAGAAATATAAAGAGAAATACACAAAAGAATAAATAAATGTGAAAATATAAAGACAAATAAAATGTAAAAGAATAATTATGAAAAATAATTGTGAAAATAAATAAATACCACTACTACTACTACTACTACTAATAATAATAATAATAAAAATAATAATAATTATTGTTATTATCATGCTTTTTCTATTTGGTCATTTTTCTTTCTATTACTATTCATCAATTATTTTATGTATTTCTCTTTATATAGCTATTATATAAATTTGCTTTTCATATTTCCACATATTTTAATTTACTATATTTTTAATTTATTCATTTTCACATTTTTTTTATCAACGTATTTATTCTTTTATTTATTTCTCTCTATATTTACCCATTTTTTTAAATGTATTAAAAAAAAATTCTGTTTATATTTTCACATATTCTGTGTACTTATTTATTCTTTTTTAAATTTCTAGTTAGGTTAGCTAGATTACAAATGATGGTTTTGGTTTTGTTTTGCCATGCCTTCTAACTTTGTAAGTCCTCCATAGCTGTTCATATTGTTGTTGTCTGATCTGCCACCTTTATGTTAAAGGTTTGGTTCTGTTAAGGTGAAAAAAAAAAAAAACCCGACAAAACTGATTAGTTGAAAACAGGACGCCACCACCAGTTTCCTGTGTCAGCGTCTTACACTTTTTTCACCAAACCACCAACCCCAAACTCCCATCTTAGAGGTTTTGCGTTGGTTTGACAACGTCAGGGTATTTCTGCCATTGCTCCTGACAGTCATTATTAACTCACCACAAGACCACAGGAGGTCCTCAACTGGTAGACACAAGATGCATAGGTTGTTTTGAAAAGATGACCAATGCTGTCTGTTTTCTGTCGAGGACAGTCTGTAATTTGTTCAAGTTTTTTTTTTTTTAAATAGTATTAATATCTTGGAGACAGGGTTGGGCAGACTGTTGTCTTTGGGACTATTTCTTCAGTTGACAGTAGTTCCGTTCACAGTGATTATCCAAAGTAACAGGGACAGTATTAAATGTAATTAGTTATTCACGTAGGAGGCAGAAGTCTCAGACATTTCAAAACCAGGTCAAATGAAATCCAAACTATGTGCATGGATTAATAGAACCAGACCTGTGTGACCAAACACACTCTTACTTACTCGTACTTTCCTGAACACAATGATCTGAGACATTGTGCAACTGCCTCTCCTCTGAGAAACGTGGCAGGAACGATGCACACTGTTGAGTGTGTAAACAGGTGGCATCCACTCACTGTGAAGGCTGGATCAACACTCCTCCTCCTCCTTCCCCCCTTTCTCCCTACACCCCCGCCTTCTCCCGCTCAACCTTTGACCCCTGCGTAACCCCTCCACCCCCCTCCTGTGTGGTGACACTGCTGAACCCTCCCTCCTCTCCTCCCTCCTTCCCTCCTTCCCTCCTCTGTCCTTCAACCTGCTCGTACACTAATGCTGTTATCATGCTTCATTTCACGGCTAGTTTCCTCCTCCTCCTACTCCTCCTCTTGCCTTCTTCAGCTAAATGGCAGTTTTTAAGGGTTAGATCGAGTGAAGACACTGAAGACAACTCAAAAGCCCACATGTACATTAAAGGCATCGCTGACTGCTGTAACTGTTCCTCTTGTCCATGCTGGCTGTGAAGAGATGTCTTCCTTATGGATACTTTATTGAAACTGCTTTAAGAGGAGATGTATGGACAGGAGGAACAACTCCAGCAGCTGATAACTGTGTAAATGTACATGTGGTTCATGCTGGTATTGTTTTAAAAATGTGAACCTATCAATTTTCTTGCTTGCACACACAAACATGCAGAGAGCATCCAGTTGCCTCACGCTCACACAGGCTCTTCACTGCATACCTGTTGCTACACACAATGGGCTAGTTGTCTGGACAGCAGGCCAAGAGGCAAGGTGCATGTGTGTGTGTGTGTGTGTGTGTGTGTGTGTTAACAGTGGGTGATTTGATTCTGGCAGAGAAGG